AAGATGACAATCAGAGTATATTTTCCGAGGAAGACTCAGAATTTACGGATGACACCACTCTCCCTCCATCCGTGGATGATGAAGTACTGGATGAGAAGGATGAAATGAATGAGAACAAGGATGATGTACTGGATGAGAAGAATGAAATGAATGAGGACAAGGATGATGAAAGACTGGAGAAGAGTCCAAGAATCATAAATATCCAGGAACCAATTTCACTTGGAAACTTTGAGGAGAAGTTTCATGGAGTTCAGGAAATTATGGATTTTTTAAACTTTAGATCTTTTAACAATTTCAAGTTTATTTCCAAGGTTTCTTTATTTTAATTGAAAAGGAATAGAGTTATTGCCACAAAATTCCTATCTCTTTCCAACCAAATGCCGTAGACCTTAGATATTTAAAACTGTGAATTTTATTAAATCAAATAACCTAAGATTGAAATATGACAACTGTTATTGTAAAGATATATGTATTAGAAAATTTGAGACCCAATTTCTTTCCAAGTTGTTTGTAAAATCAATCGATTCTGCCAGACTGACAAAAAAAATTAAAACTTTTTTTCTGTTGCCTCTTTTTTCCCCTCCTTAACTATTTCACAGCAATTGACACTTTTTTTTCGCATTTTATCCTTTGTTTTTTAAGTTTTAAACTCTCTCTATCTGCCCGACTTTCTATGTTGTTTATTTGTGCAAATATATATTTGCATGTGTGAAGTGTGCAGAATAAAATCCTGTCAGGTTGTTTGCAAATATTTCAAGTCTCGCCATTTTGCTATTTTAGTCAGGGGCTATTTTTCCCAGTGGGGGGGCGGGAGGGGTTTCAATTTTCTCTTACTTTTTTATTTTTTTAAAGAATAATTCAAAAAATTCCATAATTTGATCAGGGCGAGGTGTTTGCAGTGAACAGTTCAACCCTGTTTATAAAAGGGTTCAGCTATGATGGTGAGGGTCCGGATGCATTCTTTTATGTTGGTAATTCCACCAAACCAATACAACATGGAGTCATCGTTCCTTATCCATCAAATGAGAATACAGAGGACCCACCCATTCTTAAACAGTTTAATTCTCAAGATATTTATCTAAATATTCCTCAAGGGTTGGATGTAAAAGATCTGCGGTGGATAACTGTATGGTGTCGACAATTTGGTGTCAACTTCGGGGATCTGATCTGGGGAGATAAGATTAGAAACACTCCGGAGCTAGAACCTGATACTGACACCCTAAACACAGATGAGACAAGTTGTACTCATGATGGGAAGATGTACTCAGTCGGAGAACAGTTTTATGACGGATGTTCTCAGTTCTGCGTGTGCCAGGAAGGTTTTGTAACTGTCTGCTTTGATCTGGAGTGTCCAAGTAAGTTTGGTATGGATGTATTAAGTCCGAACTGTATAGAGTGGGATGAACATGAAGATTTTGTTCCAACTCCTCCGGTCTGCTGTCCCCCTGTCCCTACCTGTCTCAGCACAGGTTCATGTATATACCAAAACCAAACATTTAACAACTATGATTCAATCCCACAAGAGCTGACGGGATGCGAGGAAAGATGTCATTGTGAAAACTCTGAGGTTAAATGTCAAGATGCTTGCTATGAGATTCCCTCAAGTCCTCCCTCGTGGCTTCCTTGTGAACCTCCTCAAGCTGTTCTTGTCGCAAGCAAGGAGCGCACCTGTTGTCAGACTTGGGATTGTAAACCTGTCGAAGTGTTTGATACTTGCATCCTCATGCCTTACTCTCTTCTTGGAACCTCCACCAAACCTGTAAATGAAACTAGTATTTTCATCAAGTTTAATATCCCGGAAGCTGCAGCCGGACACAAGGGGTACTTCCAGATAAGTTACTCAGCAGGCTTCGGGGGACATCCCGACCCAACCCGATGGCCTGTGGAAGAATTTAGATCTGAGACAGGAACTATTGATACAGCTGAGACTGTGAGTAAAGTGTTTGGTCCACTAGCTCCTAACACTGAGTACTTTATACTTCCAACAATAGTTGTTGAAGATTGTGATGATATTCTGGAGATCAAGGGTGAGATAATCACTGGACGAACAATGCCTGTGGCTCCTCCTCCTGATGATCTAACCCCGGTTGTTATCTACCTAGATCTTGATCTCACCGCGACTAGTATTACCTACAATTCCGCTAGAGTCACCTGGAGACATTTTGAACCTGACGAGAAACCATCCATTGATGGAGTTCAGCTCCGGTATCTAGCTCTGAAAGAAAACCTACCACTTTCACAGGTTCCCGTTACATCCTCCTTTATTCACCGGGATACAAACTATTTCCTGTTTGAGAATCTGGACCCGGAAACAGATTATGAGATTGAACTGGACATAATTCCAGTTCCTGGATCAAAGAAAGAACTTTATTCAGGGAAGAAACTTGAGTTTTCCACTCTGCCCTTCAGTGACATCTATGATTTCAATATTGAACTACATGTAGATGAGGTGGGAGGTGATAGTGCCGAGATCAGCTGGAGTGGTGTCCCTAGTCCAGATCAGAAGTTTGTTAATATTTATAGGTTAGTACAATTCTTCACTTTCAAATTTTCTACATCAAGAATTCAACACAATAAATCAGGGGCAAATATATTACGGGGGGGGGGGGCATAGCCCGCCTGTATACGCCCCTACCAATAATATTGTGCAACTTGTTTTATAAAAATTATCTACTTACAATTAATGGGGCCGTTTAATAGGAAGACGACAGATAATCTTGATTTATAATTTTGAATAGTGGTGAGCGTTTATATCAATACAATGAAGACTACTTTCCTATTTAAGTTTTGATTTCAAATTACAAGATTTCAAGTAAACAAAAGAAAGCTGAAAATTGACAGCTTCTCTATGTGTCCCTAATTATGTGAATCCATCCTGTTGGAAAGTTTGGCAGAAATCTACAAAGTCCTCTCTATTGTATGGATATATACGACGACCGCTGTAGCACAGCAATTGTTATTATCAGTCTTCTCTGAATAAGTTAACAGAAACAGAATATTTAAATTAAAACTAGAAAAAATGTAATGATGCTTTCGAAACATAATTGTTTTGTTTTCAGAATAATTTACCAGAGTTCTGATAGCGTAGAGGAATATCCATCTATCTTCAAAATATCTAAAATAGATTCACCTAAACGTATTCTCATAAATACCCTTCAACCCAACATGGAGTACCAGGTATAACAAATAGAAAATACTTTAAAGGGACCGAAGACGTCATGTTAGGTGTCCCCTCATTTATAGAGTTGCATATCTGAATTAAAACCGTAAAAATCTTACAATCTGACTATTTCCTTCATTGTTTCTGTGCAAAAATCACAGATCACTTTTAGAGGAACAAATAATGAATTTGAATCTAGAAAACCAATTATAACTCAATCCTCCTTGATCAACAAAAGCGGATAAACTTACTAAATGTAGGATCACTTCAAAGTATTCAGTTCCTTAAACCCCCAAACTATGAAACTATATTTTCTTTCAGGTCTGGTTAGAGGCCTACTTAACAAATGGCAAGCTAAGTAAGTCCAACGTTGCTCAATTCCATACATTGCCGGCCCCTGCTGCCCCCCTGGCCCCCCTCACCGGGTCGGACACTGTCCAGACGGACGAAAAGAACAACTATTACCGATCAATGGTAGCCGCAGCAATCATAGCCGCTGTTGGAATTCTCGCCTTTGTAATTGTGCTGTATTTCTACCTACGGCGGAATGTAACGTATACACATACAATAAACAAAGAACGGCCTGGAACCCCGAGCTCGTATGAAAACAATGGGTTTAAAGAGACAAATATGAATTCAGTTCAGAGCCTTGAAATGGACAATACCTCAAATGGACACAAGCATAATCCATGAACTAGAAATGGACAAACTAACTCCCCTAAACACAAAAATAGACGTTGATCGGGATTTCAAGGACGACTATGACAGTTATTTAATGAACTATAGTGAAAATGATTAAATTCATCCTGAATTAAAAAAGATCTAAAAAGATCTAAACTTACAGTGCGCTGTGATATGATAAAATAAATTAACTGGCCTACGTACAGTAAATAAATTAACTGGCCTACGTACAGTAACATTTCAGTCATTTAGGGAAATCGATATGTTCCACTGCACAAAAAAAACTTTAAATACTCAGAAAGCATGTGTCGGAGCTTTTGTAAAATTTTAGATAATTTGTTCAATTTCTAAAATGAATAAGTGTGCCAATGAATAATATTGTTCACTTAATAATACAAATCATTATAAATAGTGAATATTTGTTATCATCGTTATTATCTTTGAGAATCATTAAGTTAATTATTATGTTTATAAATATAAATAAATCATAGATTATCAGAATAAAAAAAAGTTATTCTGTAATAGAAAAAAATATATTTAAGCAAAATTTGTAGTTAGGCTTTAAAAGCCAAAATTTGCTTATTGTAGTTCAAGTAAGGAATACAAATTAACCAAGTTTTCCATTTTTTGAAAATAAATTCATGTGATTAGTAATTTAAATGATGGATATTAAACAGAAAGATAAAAAAAGCTGAAAGGTAGGAAAGGAAGCCTTTATATTTGATAGAGTTTGTAAATGCCATAAATGAGTGAAACATTGAAATCCAACCCAACTAAATCATGCCTAAATCCCTATAATTTTTTCATGAAATAATGCATATCGTAAAATTGTTTGACTTTTCTAACTAATAAAGTATGCATAGTAATGACATGGAAACTTTTGTCAAGCTGTTATAATGTGTCTACTTTCCAAATGAGACCACTATAAACTTGCTTAAGGTTCCTGGACTTAAAAATGTGGCAAAAGGAATTTTTTAATGACAGACCTGTTGAAATCTGGAGGTTGACCAAAGATAAGGATTAATTTGGCTAAACATAATAAAATGTTGAAATATTAGTGAATAAAGTATCTCAGTCTTAGATAAAAACTGGGAAAATGCTGACTTTTAGTTTTTAATATTATTTCTCAAATAGAAATGTTTGTTGAAAGAAGCCTAACTCGAAATTATTAACTTTTATTACATATTTTTTATGAACATAAGGGCTGATTGGTTCCAATTCCCTTTTTGTGCAAAGTATTATCATTATTATTTAACAAAATTTCTGTGGTTGTTCATGGAGGAGAGGAAGGCCAGCCACAACAAGTTCTCGTCCGAGCCACATTCTCCTCATTTTCTCGTCCGAACCACCTCGAAATCCTCGTCCTTCGATTATTATGTGTTGAAAAGTTACTAATTCTTGAAACTATTTATAACAAATCTGGCCACGTTAGGGCATAAAATATGGATAGACTAAAGTATTTCAATGATTAAATCATGTTTGAATCTTTAAGAGACATGAGAATGATGTAAAACTTAATTTAGGTAAAACTTAAAACCCTTTCTGCCTCCGTAATGGCCTACCTTAGCGATATGAAATAATTAGCAAAATATTTGACATTTTCCCCATGGAACCACCCGGAAAAATCTATGGTTTTCACTATAATTAAAGTTCTATAATCTTGAAATTATTTGCGTTATTCTATACCAGGAATATCTGAAAATGCGCGTAAAAAAGGTGAACATTTTTAAAGACATAGAACTCGAAAACTTTAATTCAATTGAAACTATTTATTCAATTTATTAAAATTCAATATTTCATTCATGCCCTAACGTGGCCCGATTCTTAAAAAAAATTGTTTTATCTTGGAGGACTAGAATTTTGGCAAAAACTGATATTTTAGCCCATAGACCAAAATTGGCCATGTTCCAAAAAAGTCAGTGTTTTGACCATCAGTCAATTATAAAATATCAAAGGAAAGTTACAGCATTTACCGGCTAGAGGTGTAATATTTTTACACCAAGAACTACTTTTTAATGGAAAATTTTTTACCACCGACTTTTTTATTTAAAAAAAGCCAAATATAAATTTTGTTTACGGTTTTTTGCATTCCTTAAAGCTAGCGCAAAATGCGAAAATTTCCGCCTTTTCCGCGAAATTTTGCTTCAATCTGTTTCGCAAAAAAATGCGAAATTTTCGCCAAAAGAAATGCGAAAATGTCGTGAAAAAAACTCAGAAAGATGGCTAGACAGCTCAAATTCTCTTTATCAAACGTTTATTAAAGTAAAGGAAGAGAAATTATTATTGTCACATAAAAAAACTTTAAATATTGAGCTGTCAGAGCAGAGAATTCTACAATTTTGTTTGCTCAATTAATTGTTGAAGCTACAACACTTCTTGTTTTTGAGGAAGCATTTCGCATTTTTGCGAAAATCTTTTTCGCGAAATTTCGCATCATATTCGCACTTTTCGCTTCATTCATTTTCCCACGAAACTTGACAGAAGAAAGATGACTTGAAGGTTGTCTTTGAGCTTTGAAATAACTTCCGGCATTCATTTGCTAACCTATTTTTTTGTTTAAAAATCTTGAATCAATAATCACTGAATTCTCCTAGTTCTGGGATTTTCTTAACGTGTTCTGTGGACTAGGATTATTTCCATCAAAGCAAAAATTTTCAAAATAATGGATAATCCTACAATAAGAGATCAGGGCGAAGTCTTTTCTCTAAACCAAGGGCAAGGTCAAGAGGAATTTCCGGAAATTTTCTGTTTTTCTTTTTTGTTTTGATTTCCGATCATAACTTATGAACCCCTTGACTGATTTGTCTTAAATTTTGATTGGGGAACTTGGTAGAGCAACAGGAATGTTCTTAGAGTGGTTTGAGTTGGTTTATAGGGAACTTAATTTTAGATTTTGGCATTGAGAGAAGGTCGCATTCTTGCGTTTTTTGTAGGACTATCCATGGATCCATTATTTTGAATTAGTTTAATTAGTTTTCTTTAAAGAAGTATTGGACAATTTTCTATCTTTTCTTGGGGTGGATTTTTATTTATTTTCTAACGAAATGAGAAAAAAATATTACATTAGACCAAAATAGAAAATAGAAAAGTATGTATAGAACTACAATAATTTCAAAAAGTGTATTTATAACGTTCCACAAAATTAAATTCAAGGTTCGGGAGCTGCATCCATGCCATCCACTTTAGAGAATATCATTATTGTATTTCTAAATATATGGTTAGTAATTATAGACTATATATAGTAGTACTTAGTATACGGCTCAATAGATCCTTAGGAGCATGTTATATTTACAACGGGACCCTTGAAACCTGAGACCTTTACCTGATCAAAGATATGGAAGATAACGTCGTTTTTCTAGCATGAAAACTGTTTAAATAATACTTTCTGAAGCTAAATCGCAAGTCATATTTGCAGAGAAACCGGTGCTATCTCATTTGAACTACTGCCGTTTGAACTATTGTTCATTTGAACTATTGTTCATTTCAACTACTGCACGTGGGACCACGTGAGTAGTTTAAATTAACAATAGTTCAAACGAGTAAATATATTGCTCATTTGAACTATTTTTTAGTTCATTAAACTATTTTCATTTGAACTATTAAAATATTATTAATGAAATAAACAAAAAATAGTTCAAATGAACATAAAAATAGTTCAAATGAACATAAAAATAGTTCAAATGAACATAAAAATAGTTCAAATGAACA